AAACAATTAACTCTCTGTTATTACTACTACTACTAATAACAACAGCAACAGAAACATTAGAAACATTAGAACACTAGAAACATTAGAAACTCTTACCTTCAGGAGGGAAACCCAAAGCCCACACACTTTCTCAAGGCTGATTAATCAGCACTGAGGAAATAATGAGAAAAATACCTTGTTCTTTTCTGCAGCTTGCTGATCCCTCCTTTTTGACTTTCTGGTTACATCTTTGATAAGATGCAGTTAATTGGTCAGGCAGCCAGAGTATTGCCTTTGATAATGTGCAGAGATCTATTGGTGAGAATAAATACATTTGTTCTTCCAGTCACCAGAAATTAGTGAAGCAATACTTGCTTAATTATAAAACATATGTGTGCTTTGTTAGTTTCCATCTGTCTGTTCACTGATTTGCAATTAAATGACCAGAAGAAAAAGATACGTCCTGTGGCAATTCAGGGGAAATGATTCATCTCTAATGTTTCTGGGTTGTGTATGTATAGGCGGCAGCTTGTGTGCGGGCAGTGCGAGAGAGAAAAAGGGAAGCAACGGGAAAGAGAGAGAAGATACCCTTATGGATAAAGGGTGTTAGGAACAGTGAAAGTCCTCTTGCTTTAATTCAAACACGTTTAGTTGTCATGAATCCAAATGTTGACTCCGGCTCATTTATTGTAACTTATCTTTCTCTTTGGAGAAACTGGGGAGCAAGATGGAGCAAGAAATACTAACAGGGAATGGAAATGGGATTTCAAGGAAGGAAGCTGGTGTGGTCAGAACAAAAAGGAAACCACAGAAAAGACGGAAGGAGGAAAAAGTGGTAAAAATTAAAGTTGACTCTTAGAGCATTTAGGTAGACCAGATTAGTTGGAGATGAAAGTTGAACTGTTGTTGTATGTCACAGATTTTTCCTTTGTGAGAAAAATACTGGGCCTTGTTTAGTGGTCCATTCTTCTGTCCTTGCACCAGTTTGGTTTTAATAACCCTAAGGGAGCAATGCAGCAGTGACCCTCAGAAGGGCAAGAATAGTTTTACTTTAGTATGGAAAAAAAAAAAAAAAGGAAATGCTGAACTACATATGCTTTCTACATAAATAGTTCAAGAGGTTCACAACACCTTTTGCTGGGTAAGGTATTCTCATCCCTATTAAAGATGTACAGGGTGACTCCATATAGCTGTGTAGATGGGCACTGTATTGCCTTCTCCAGTCTCTTTCATCTGTTATTGTTCTTTCTTGTCTTTCGGTAAAAGCAGTGCTGGGGAAGGAGATCCTTTCATGCGCCTTGTAATTGCGGACCCAGACAACACAGGTATATCTAGAGCAAGGGAAGGGAGCTGTCTGACGTTTCATCTTCATGAAGACTGACAAGGAGAAGATAGCCAGCCTTCCACAATATTTTTAGTTTGATGTTCTGGGCTGTTTTATTGATCATCAGCAACGTCCGTCGCTGTGTATAATGATAACTGCTTCAGAGGCAGAAAAAAGGAGATTGAATAAGGCCTTCAGGCCTGTCAGCTTCTTGCTGATGGATCCGTCAATAGTTGGTGCTCCCCCATCCCCTTGCTGCTGTGAGTGTCTCCAGCGTCCCTGCACAGTGACAGCAGCAGGCGAAGGGCATGGCGAGAGCCTGATTCTCCAATGAATTGGTGCTTTCTGGTGTAGAAGATTTCCTCTGTAAAAAGGGGCAGAGGGATATAAAAAGGATATAAAAGATTTATGAAGAGAGGGAGACAGAGAGAGAGAGAAAGGAGAATGTATGTATTAGGTGTTTTCAGTGCTGGATTCTTTCCCTCCTCTTCCCTCCCCTTCCCTTTCTCCAGACTTCTCTTATTGACTTTATTCATTCCTGGCAGCACTAGAGAGGTTTCCTTAAGTCGATAGCATGGGTCCATATCGGCCCAGAGTGGTGCCGTCTCGCGGCTGCTCTGCTCTGCGTCGCAGCCTCCAGTCCCTCTCCGTAGGGAGGACTGCGCAGACAGCTAAACTGTACTGCAAAGTCGACAAATAAACCGTAGCTTGGCGCCGTCATTAGCAGTCTTAACAAGAAAGTCAGAGAGTAAACGAAGAGCTGCTGAGTCTTTTGCCCTTAGGAGTCAATTCCAAATGGATGATCTAAAATGAAAGGCGCTATTTCCTATTTGTAAAATCCTCAGACATTCCTAGCTATGTGCATGCACTTGATTAAAAACATTATGATAAGTCAGTATTAAAAAGTGTGACCTTGAAGCCTCCAGAAGTTTCCGTTATTTCTTTTTACGGTTTTGCAGGCAACTCTTCCAAGCACTAACCTAATGTTTTATTGCCAGTATTGCTAGTAATGATAACAAAGGAGCATTCCCAGTCATGTGAATATGTACATTTCTATTTCATCACATAGTGGAAAGAGTACTTAGGATGTAAAGAACAATTTCTTCTAGTTTGAAAACAACTGTGGATTTACTCCTCAGTCCAAGAACTCTCCCAAGATAACTTTTTATTTGAAAAGTACACTTTTTCTGAAATTTTCAGGAAGTGCTTTTAAGTCCCTGACAGCTGAATCTTGGTTGTTTCATTTGTCCTTCTGTCTTGTTTTACAGATGATGATTTTTTTCATGAACTTCCAGAAAGTTTTCCATCTGATCCTCCAGAGCCCTTGCCCCACTTCCTCATTGAACCTGAAGAAGCTTATATTGTGAAGAACAAGCCAGTGAATCTGTACTGCAAAGCGAGCCCTGCCACGCAGATCTATTTCAAGTGCAACAGCGAATGGGTGCATCAGAAGGACCATGTGGTCGATGAGAGAGTAGATGAAACCTCTGGTGAGTTTGCATTATAGCTTGCGAGGGATGAGAGGGAGAAAATTAAAATACATTCATATCCAGCCCACCTTTGAAATCTAGCAACTATTCATAGGACAGCTACGGAATAGAAGGAGTAGAAGAAAAAAGCCAAGAACCCCGTCCTTCCTCAGTCAGTACAAGAAATCCCACTGACATTCATGGAAGACAAATAGGACCCTCATAGTGCAAAAAAAGGGGGGTTAAAAACTTGAGCTGTAAACAAGCCTGTTTCAAAGGTATGATTGTTCCAGTTTGGGAAGACTGGTAATCAATAGAGTTTGTGACATGCAAGGAGAGAAGTGGGCCTTAGTTGCTGTCTTGAGGGCTGTGAAAAATAACTGGATATCAAGCAAGAAGGTAACTTTCATTTGGGAATTGCACCACCACTTGGTCTAATTACTTAGAAAAATAACTCCACCAGATGTCTTGGAAGTCTCTTGTGAAATGGGTTTTATTTGTTTCAGCTCATTTATTTGCACAGAGATCAAAAGCCTAAGCATTTAACGGTGCTGTGGTGCTCTCAGCTTGAGAAAAAGAAGGTGGGTGTAGGGGAAGTAAGGCTGTAGCAAGAAGAAAATGTATAAAACTTTGGGTCTGTTTATTTGTTAGTAAGAATAGGCTTTTCCAGAAGGTTGACTGCAGTGAAAAGATTAAAAAGAGAAAATCTGGTAACTTAACACATCTTCTATTTTTTTTTCACCAGTGGGAATCCACTGGAATGAATAAGGACAAGCAGGAGAGCAGTTATCATTGTGTTAATTCTTTAAGCTTTTATTAACATCAGCATTCAGAAACTGAATTGTGCCTTCTGTACAGTACAGCCAAAGGCACCTTTGAAAATGAAGGATCTGATTCTTCTCAGTGACCCTAGAGGGAATAAAAAAGCATTTCCATTGAACTCAGCAATTCTGTGTCGAAACAGGTGAGGGAAGAATAAGATTCGAAGTTACTGTTTTCAGGCTTTTGCTTCTTTGTGAGAAGAGAGATTAGCATTTCATGTAAACAGTGAAGAAAGTAGGTTTAGCTTTCTTATTACAGCAGCAGCAATTTAAGACCTCTAGGAAACCAGTTGTGAATCATGTACCTCAAAAATAACACCCTGAAAACAATTTATTGTCCATCTTGGTTGATCCAGTTACAACACAGACCCACTGAATTAAGCGCTGCTCTTATATAAAAAGAAAACAGTTGAAAATGCTACATACTTGTAGAGTAAACCAACCTGACTTGACTACTAGACATCCTACACAGGATTAATATATAGCCTAATGTTAGTGTGGCAGGTTCAATTGCTGTAATCATGCCAGAAAAGATGAAAGATGGAGGGAAAAAACCCATTAATTACCAACAATGTAATTAATACAAAATAAAAGAAAGAGTCTCTGAAAATACTTAAGAGGAGTACATTCTATAAGCTTCAGTGTAGGAGGAAATTTATACTGCTAAGGAAAATATCAAATTAGTAAAAAGCTTCAGTCAAAATATGAGCAACAGCTTACATAGCTGGGTTCTCATGTTAACACCCTTTCTCTGGAGCACAGCTTATAGGTCTCAGAAAAACACAGAAAGAGGTGGTCGCTGCAGTTCTTGATACAAGGGCAAAATTCATTGCAGTGCAAACTTTTTTTTTCCAAAATCCCATGCTAGAAGAACTTCATGATGCCGTAAAACAAATTGCAGCAGGGAATGTAGAAGCCCGGTCTTGAAAAGAGATCCATCTGAATATATTAGAGGATGAATGTTTTGAATAATAAACAGCAGCAATTATATCTAAACAAAACCCATCTCCAATTAGAGATTAACTTAATCTCCTGGACTTCCAGGAGGGGAAGGGAGGGTATGCCAAAAGCTGCGCAGATCAGATTATTAGCATAAGAGCTACAAAAACCAGTCACGCTAATAGCTCGTTAAAATGAAGCTGTCAGTATCTAAATTTGTCAGTCCACTTCATGGTTGCCAAAAGGCTGGTGAATGTGTGTCGTGAGTACAGTGTTTCTCCATCTTGCCATACATAGACTGAGAATCTGTGGCTGAGGACACATAGTGTAGAATAGACATGGGTAAGCAATATCTTGAAGGCAGCATTGAAATAGTGTCTTCCTCAAAGCAATGGAAGCTCAGGAAAACATGTCTACTGCAGGTGGAGCTGGAGAAGAAGTTGCATGAGATGTGGCCTTAACGGATCATAGTCGGAGGAAGGTTTTACACATATGAGATCATCAGCTTGGCAGCTTGCACCAGTCCGTCTGGCTTTGGGCTTCAGCTCCACCACTTTTAAGGCTATTTTGCTTTCCTTCACTATTTTTAGCTGGCTGGTGCAGTAGTGCTAACCTAGGGCGTACCTGCAGTGGCTGAGCTGCTCAGAGGTATTATAAGGATGCAGCCCCTGCCGAAATTGCTGCTGGCTTTGGGCTTGCAGTTGGATGTTGTTTGCAGGAAGTCACTCTGTGCCCTTGGAGCAGTCGTGTAGCAGAGCACCGTTCATGGCAAGCCCTATGTTTGGCCCCTCGCAGTAACCCTGGCTCAAAGGGAGCCTAGCTACACAGTATTTCTGCTGGGCCAGTCATGCAACCCAAGTTACCGAAGGCTGGACATGTTCTTCCCCTGGACATATTCTTCCCCACTGATGGTTTTTCCACGCTGGAGGTCCATTCAGTGACAAAGAGGAGCAGGAGCACCACGCTCAGCTGGTCATTGGCTGCTGTTTCTGAAGCAGACTTTCTCTCTTAAGTCCTCAGGTAGAAAAGCAAAGGAAAGGGAAACAGAACAAATAGATAAAAAAAAGTGCGGAGGAAGAAAAGTAAAATAC